CTGGTTACATGGTCAAATCCAATTATGGGACAGTGTGTTCCTCCCTTAAATGGATTCAAGTCTGTTTCCTGCCCCCTCTCGGCCTGCGGTATCCTTTGCAGTGGGAGCTGGCCTTCCTGGCGAAATTACACAAACGAACATATGACATTGACAGTGAAATTCAGTATTTATATTCATTAATATTTATTAGCTAAAATTTCATTCAACCTGCTGCCTTTCACAGGCACAAACATCGCAACCCTTACAGATACACAGCGTAATGCTCCACACCAGGACCGCAACACACAGATCACCTTGACATTCTGTGGAATTAAACCGTGGCCGAATATAAATTGGAACACTTCCATTATTATTAATTTTGTGAAAGAAAGAATCCCTTACTACTTTAATTATTTATTTGCCTCTCTATTCAATTATATATGACAGGCTTGGGCTATGGTTTGGCCTAGTGTGACCTAGAGTTTGACCGACTTATAAATTAAGAAAAAAGAAAAGTACTTCATGTTTTATTTTCAGGCTGCTCTGAAAGCCAGGGCTCCTGAGAGAAGAAAATGAGAGTGAATTCTAATTGCTGTTCAGCAGTTAATCTGTTGTTAATCGTTCTGCAGTGAAATATCCATATTTTCTAACAATGAATCCATACCCTACAATTCACTAGTCAGTGGGTCAGAAAGATAAAGGTGACATTGATTTGTTAGTTTATTATTCCAGTTGTACAGTACGTGCGTATTTTGGGGTTTTCCTTTTTCTTTTGAATGCATCCTGTGTATTTTTGCACTGCTCGTGTTGGCAGTTGATTATCGGGTTGTTTCATAAAAATTACACTATTGGATAAATACAGACCATACTGCATATTATTTTATGGATGCATGAACAGTGTACAAATTGCTTACATCTCGAATTTACTGTGGGATCGTCCATGAAGCCAGCTACTAATTAATGACTAACATAATGCTTGTTATGTGTCTGGGTTATGTGTATGTAATTATGTCTCTGTTGTGCCCCCATCTGTAGCCGTGCTGATTTATTAATTATCCTCATCAGGAGCTGCATGAGTGTGATTTTGGTACTCCTAATCAGGGTTCTATAAATTAAAAGAGGAAGGAAAGTCGCAATGTAATAACACAAAAACAGAGTCAGAGATCTCATCCAGCTGTGTCTTCAAATAAGTTCCTGTATTATCTTCAGCAACATGACTGGATAACGTGTTCCATACTCTGATAACCTTTTGTACAAAACATGTTTCCTTTTTTTCAATGCACTTTCCTGTAGTTAATGCTTCTGTCCTGTGGTTTCTGTTTCACTATTCATTGAGATGAAGCCTGAGTACCCTTTCCCCCTCTGCCCTCGGTTTAGAACCTACTGTATGTCTGTGACAAAAAGACAAGTCAATAGTTACACTTCTGTCATTTTGAGCTTAGTTCTGGTTTCCTCTTTTTGGTGCAGAGAGTGAATCTGTCTTCTGCAGGTGTTCCTTTTTTTTTTTACTGCAGTTCAAAATCCCCAGCAGTAAATTCTGGAGGTGAGCTGGTTGGCAGTATTTGATCTGAGATCAGACTTTTACATTTCTCTCCCAAAGCTTTCAAGTTATTTTAATGCCATATTAAACTCTTAAACTCCAGACGTTCCAAATCTATAACAGTACATTCATACAATTCAGCTATTGAGATTAGAATTATGCACAAGTTCAGAATAATATAATACATAATTCATAAAAGAAAAGGAAATTTGATGTAGCAATCTTTTATATTGTACTGTGCAATAAAATAAAATCGTCCTTAAGATGATGAAAAAACACATTGATATTAAGATTACCAGAATGAAATATCATTAAAAATATGATATACCATCATAGCATCTAAAAAGCCTATGCTACAGAAAATAAAAATGCAGATTGAGTCATTGCAATATTTTGTCTAGAGATTCTTCTGTAAAAGTTGTCTTTATTGATAAAGATTCACCATGTGAATTCACATGTATTTAAATGCAAAGGGAAATTTTCTATTTTAATTTCCCCAAGAGCATAGAAGTGTGCAAAAATGGTGTTTGGTATTTTAGAAAAATTAAAATATTTACTTCATTGTTGAATCCCCGAGAGATTATGTTGAAGATTCTCAGCAGTTTTAAGATGCTGTTTTTGGTAATTAACTCATGTGCTAACCATGTGCAGACTCTGCAATCATACCAATCCTGAAGCATTGTTCCATCTACTGCCTTGTCATATAACTTATAAGCAGACCAAGCACAATATGCAAATGATCTGGATTGTATCCCTTTAATTAATGGTTTTGATATAGGTGTCATTTTTGGTCTAGAGCATAAATATCTTTATTAATTTTCACATAGAATAACAAAAGCTTTGCTCTGGTGCATTTCACAAAGGATTTCACGCATACTAATGCTGATCTGTTGCTCTTGTCCTTTGTTCAGAAATATCAAGAGTGAAGCCTTCTCACTTTTTAGCAGACATTCATGAAGAATACATACGCCCTTGGCTCCATTTCTGCACTGTTTGTCAGGATTGCTTTACCCATTTTATTTTTAAAGTCATTAATTTTGATTTATTGTGTTTTCTGTCATAGCATGAGCCCAAACACACTTGTGACCAACCGTGGCAGGAAATGATCTTCTTAACTTTGAACTTTGACCTGGCGTGCTCATGCAGAATAATCCTCCAATCCAATTATGTTTAGGAGTATCAACAGAAAATTCGGTTTCGTGATTGAACTGGCATCTGTGACCCAACAAATTGTTCTCATGGAGGTTCAGAACATGTGTGGGGGGCAGATGTGAAAGGAGAAATCTGCTAAAACGTGTAAGGTTTGTATGTTAACACAAAGCTCGGTTTAACCCACTGAACCCCTGGAGCACTTCCTTGGCCCTTTGTGAAGATAATGATCTGAACTGCAGCCTGAAGGACAATAAGAAGAATACGGGCAGCAAAAGACAAAATGCACATGCATTTAAAATGAATGGCGAATAAAAGGGAAACCCACCATTGACCACTAATTCCAAAGTTACGCAATAGAATTAGGCAGGCAACCTTGATCTTTACGGTTGTGCTTCTTTATGATTTTGAATACATCTCGGACCTTAACAACATTATTGAGCAATGCAGGAGCCACCTAGGTAGGACCAGAGTTTCCCTCGCTCCCTAGAATCAGGATGGAGCTGCCACTGAGCTCCATTTAGCTCGTTTCAGCTCTCCTCGAGTTAAAACCACAACGGGTGGCCCAGGCCTGTTGCGTGAACTAACCTCATTTGCCAAGGAAGAGCTCAGGAAATGAGAAGTACGTTTCGGGTCATTTCTAATAAGAATTTGAAATGGGGGTTAAGACTCTGGTACAAGCACATAAAAACTCCCACCTCTTGTGTAATAATGTTCGTTTATTTATTCTTTCTGATGCAAGTCATTTTAATCATCGAATAAAACAACACAAAACACTGGAAAGTAAGACCTTTAAAGAAAATGAATTCCTTCTTTTTTTGTGTGCCTAATTTTAGGTTTTGTTTTGGAGAACACTCATGTTACAAGAGTGGAAACTTATTGAGTAACTTCAAAGAACCAGTGGTGGGTCAGCACTTTCATTTGCTTAGATATAATTAAGTAGGAAGTCCTGTGAGTAAGAAATTGTGACATCTAGGAGGGGTTGGTTTTTTTTTTTTGCCTTTAGCGCACATTTGTTTTAAAAGTAAACAGAATTCAGAGGTTATAAACATGTAGTTCTACTTAAGGTTGAATTATAGTAACACATCATAAGAACAGAGGTTACCATCTAGAGAAGGCCATTTGACCTATCTATTCCCTATGGTAGTTGGTTAATTGATCCAAAGATCTCTTGGAAAGCATCCAGGCTTCTAGCTTCAACGACACACTCCCATAGTCCTTTGGGCAAAGAATTGAGTCCTGTTCAGAGTTTTAAAGGCACTTCCTTGTAATTTTCACTCATCCCCTCTGGTTCATGTTTCAATATTCATTCTGAAGAAATCCAATTAATTCATTGCTTAGTCTTGTATAGCGCTTTTCTGGACACTCCACTCAAAGTGCTGTACATGTAATGGGGACTCCCCTCCACCACCACCAGTGTGCAGCCCCACCTGT